AGCTACTCGCGTCCGAAGCTATGCAATTCTCGTGACTAAAAATTCCCCACATCTGCCCAACTCGATTCTCTCCGCATCGGCTTCTCGGCACAAGGTACTCCACAGCCAAGTATGACATCCCAAGGTTTCAAGCATACATGTCTATGTTTAAATAGAGCCATGTATCCATAGGGCTAAGATTCTGAGTATTAACTCTTATATATTTAGATGTACCTTATCGCCACGTTATCTGTCTCATATTTCGTTTCCCCGTCCTTCACGTCATCCTTTCATTGTTTCAATAAGTAACAAACTGGAAGTCACTCTCTTGCATTGAGTATAGTAAGATGTCACGACTGGTTTGGATCTGGCAAGATGTGTCTAAAAGCCTGCAATAGTATCCTACTTTGCCATCTTCAGTATAAAGATGAATGGAGGTGGCAAGGTTCTGGATCTTGGGGGAAGCCAGGACAGTAGACAACTCGCAACCGAGACCCCTTTGTCTTTCAGCTTTTTTCACACTCTGTATGTAGTCCTGCCGTTCCTCCCACCGATTTTGCATCTCCGGATCGATAGGGTATCCATCGCGGTCGTATTTCGATGGCAGGTCAATTGGCGGGGGCACAGTGTACAAAAAGGCCGGGAACTCCACTGCCTTCCACGGAACCGTCGAAGCACCTTCCCAGTCAATGATTGAGAGAATATTGTATGCATCGTCGATGATAACATTACTGTGGTAAAAGTCGGGGTGATGAAGAGGGAAAGGCCCTTTGCTTAGTTGAAGTGTCCTGGCTGCATCCTTCAGTCGAGCAGGAAACTGTTGGATCGAGAGTATAATTTCATCCGCCATATGCGACGGCAACTGGGAACGTATCCTCGCCTCTCCCATAGGAAATTTGGCATTGTCTGCCCACGCCATGAAATAGTCTTGTGCGGTTTCGAACGGACCCCCTAAGCCAGGGATTGGGTCAATGTCGTAAGACCCGTTTGCGCGGCGTGTGATCATGCCAATCTTCGGGAACCGTATTGAGGCCATGGTCGCCTGTAACTCAGTCAGATATATCACTGTAAAGTCCCACGATTGGATTGTACCTGAATATAGGCAATATCATTATGAAACTTGGCCTTGTGGCGTAGTGGTATTTCTCCTCCATGGATTTCCGGCCCGCCAAAAGCGTTCATTGCTGTGCTTCCTGGAATGAATTCCATGATCATAAAGGCGCGTCCAATGCGTTCTTGACATTCGTCATACCCAATCACTCTTGGAACGGGGATATCCGTCTGTTCTTGGATGATACTGAGTGTATCCTTCTCGGAAAGCAAAAGGCTCTTTGAGTACCGCGTTTCCTGGTGCAGCTGTATACGTGCAACCCATTTGGTATCATCATCAAAAACAAGGAGACGAACTATGTGCACCCCACCCATGCTGTATATTGGAGGAATCTCGCATTTCGGGGGATGTGCTGTGTCTTGAGATTGTGCACATTTGATGCTGATAGTGTATTGTTTGAGCGCGTCCCAGTCAATTTGAGGAATAGAGGGCTCTTGGTCAATATTACTCTTCCAATTTAAGCGGTCCATTGGTAGCAAAAGAGATTGTCGAATTAGTCCGTTCTTGAAGGTCTGTAGAGGTTGGAACTGATTGACCCTTGAAGCTGGAGAACCCTAGCCAAGGATGACGGTCGGGGTAACATACGAACATTGGTATCATTCAGGTGTATATAACTATACGGTCCCGACGTCGCGGATCTCTCAATTGAGCGCTGTGCTATTTTTAAAGTCTCCTTACGAAGTTCTATATATTTTTTTCTCAAGTCTTGTGCAAAATATGCCTTTGGTCTCATATCCTCGAGCTCTTTCGATGAACGGGCAATTTATTAACAATTGATCTAGAAGAGAATCATCAGCCTGCAACGAAATCACAATACACGGTATGTGTTTTGGGCGCCTGGCATATGCACTTGTTGTCCAAAAGGGCTTATAGGGCTTCATGGACAAAAGCCCTTATCGGCAGATAACCAGGCTGAGTCATCCGTTGCCTCGCGACGGGCCCAAGGGGTTTGTTTGGAGGGGAGACCAGCCCAATGACGCTAGCCAGCTCAGACCGTCAATTGTAGATCCAACTAGACTCTTCTCATCTTAGTTCATCTGGGTCCCTCTTTTCTGTACTTATCCGTATATCTTCTCCTGGATCCCTGATCCTTGCAATTCCATGATGCATAAACATCCCACTCAGAGAAAAGTCTCACCTCCTGGCCCATCCTTCATGTCCAACGATCAAGTCTGTAAGTAAATCTTCGGTGTCGGACGGCTCGGAGCTGATGTGAGTCAACAGCAACATACTTAAAAGATTTGCGAGCGAATCGTCCGGCCCGTCCGACAGGATCTCGTCCATACCCAGGCAAAGCAGCCGCTGTTAGCGATCAGTCTGATAACCTTCCTCCAAGGGCATCCTCGGCATTCTCCATGCGTACCCCAGTCGAGCATGACGTTGAAGATCGACGCTCAGGAAGCGCAATGTCCCATCGCCGGGCGAACTCCCAAGCGTCCGCCGGCGCAATGGGTCGTCCTTTAGCTCAGGAGCCCCGAACGCACTCGATCCGGAAGAACGTCTTTCCAGCACAAATTCACGCACGTACCATATCCATACCGGCATCTCCCGCTCTGTCCTATCGTGAAAATGGGCAACGACGACACGAAAAGGAAGAGGCACGGGCACTGCGAGAGGCCTTGCAGAAAATGGATATCGAGGACGATGTTGGCCTTCACCAAGCAGCCCAGGATGAGGCCACACAGCTAGTTTGGATGCACCAGAATCCGGGTCAAGCTTTCAAAAACCCTTATGCGCCATACCAAAATCCTGATGCCAACAAGGGCAGCCAGAGCCCTGTTAAAAATGGTTCGCGAGAATATGACCCCTTGACCAATAAATTCAGCCAGTCCACTGGCTCAAGTATCTCTTCTGATGGTAACTCTAGCCCGGAGTCACTGCGCAAACGATCATCTCTGGCTGGTCCCTCAAAGAAGAATCTGAAAGTTAACTTTAAACTACCCGAACTCGAGGAGTCTGTTGCTCCCGAACCGCAAACTGTCAGCAGCGATTCATCTAAAGGAATCCTCAAGAACCCTAAAGAACAAATATACGAAGAGCCCATTGAGACAAAGAAGGAACCCGAACCAAAGTCGGAATTTTCCAAGTCTGACTCGTCAGCAATGAAAAAGAAACCGCGCAACGCCCTAGGCCGTATTCCTAGGCCACTGCCTTGGTTGCAGAATAGAGTTCACAGCAGCCCTATGATGGATAAGATTTCGCGGTTTGAAACCCCCAAGGACACTCCCACCAAGCCGCGTAACGGCGGCTACACTCGAAACGAAAGCGCTACTCCTTCTCCCACTCAGTCACAAGTTGCCGGCTACACTCGAAACGAAAGCCCTACTCCTTCTCCCACTCAGTCACACAAGGCCGGCTACGCTAGAAACGAGCGTGCTACTCCGACGCCTCCCCCCGAAGAAAAGGATGAACTTGTCCCCACCCAGGATGGAAGAGAGAGACGCAGTGACGAGATCCGCGCAGCTACTAGCAAAAAGCGAGGAGACCGCAGCGAAAAGTTGCCAATGCCTTCAGCCGTCAGTGATCGAGTGGGACGCCCAATCGTGAGCTTCGACAAAACTTGGAAACCAGTTGATCAGCCGAAGCCCGATCGTCCAACCCTCCCTGTGATTGAAATAGCACCACCGACCATTGAAGTCTCTACCCCGACTCCAGTTCCCGTGATAAATATCCCGGACATCAAAGTACCCACTATCTCCGAGATCGAGGCTTCTTCCAAGCAAGCGGCTAGACCCCACCCGACGGGGAAAAAACCGCAATCGCAGAGCCGTTGGTACTCGCCCTATACACGAACTGGCGTCCCGACTGCAAGCTGTGAGCGTTGTACGCTTTCCATTTCCGGAAAAATTGTGACCGCTGGCGGATGTCGATTCCACCCGGAGTGCTTTACCTGTTTCCACTGCAGCACACCCCTCGAATGCGTGGCTTTCTATTCAGAACCGGAGTCCAACAGAGCCGAGAGATTATCAAAAACCGAGGCTAGTGACATTGAAGCTCGCGTGCCACGTTTCTACTGCCATCTGGATTTCCACGAGATGTTCAGTCCCCGTTGCAAGAGCTGCAAGACCCCCATTGAAGGAGAAGTGGTAGTGGCATGTGGTGCCGAATGGCATGTCGGCCACTTCTTCTGCGCAGAGTGCGGTGATGTATGTGTGAATTCCCTTCTAATACGTTCGCCCTCAAGATAACTGACTATTTCTTCTCATATAGCCCTTCGATTCCCAAACTCCCTTTGTCGAGAAAGATGGCTTCGCGTGGTGTCTCAACTGCCACTCGCGCCGTACAGCACCGCGTTGTCTGGGCTGCAAAAAACAGGTCATGGACGATGTTGTCGTCAGCGCAATCGGTGGCCAGTGGCACGAGAGCTGCTTCAATTGTCACGAGTGTGGCGAGGGTTTCGGTTCGGAGGGCCGATTCTTCGTTCGTGAAGGCGAGCCCAAGCGGACAGCTAAGGGCCGCATCATCGGTGGTCCGGTCCAACTGGCTATCTGTGAGAGATGTGAGGGTATCCGTCTCAAGGCGCCTGGGATGTGCTAGACTTTTGCACCATTTTGTTGCCGGGCTACGGCCACCATGTTTTAGCGAGATTACTGCTTTTATCGCATGATGTCGGTGTTTGATTGTTGCATCACTTGATTCTTGATTTGTCTGCACGTCTACAACCCTTTTTCGGGTTCATTTCGGGTGTTTGTTCTTATGTTGTGTTTTTGTTAGCAAGCGAAGATTGCCAGCGATGAGCGATGAGCGATGTTGAAGTATGATATTGGCCATGCATGCAGTTAGAATGAGGAAAAAACGCCCCAAAACACCTCCCCCTCTTATCGTCATATCATTTATATCCAATGATTCCTAACTTGCCATGTTCTCCTTTCTCCTCTCTAATTAGGTATCTAATTCCCTCCACTCCTTTTCAAACAGGCCACTCAGGATCAGCCTTGCGCCTGAAAACAGCAACATACTTGTTTCCCTTATTTCTCGTAACTTTCTTCGACTCCTCCGTCTCAAATTTCATAACCCGCACACAAGGATCAAGAGCAAGCTCCTCATCAGAAACCCGCTCAAACAGATCCTTACTGCTCGGAGCAGGGGCCGGTTCACCCTCCTGCTGCTCATTATTCAGGAAATGCCGCAGGACCCAGTGGTGATACTCCTCGACATCGGTAATGGTGTACAGCAGACCGCCAGGCCGCAGGACAAATGCATACTCGGCATTTAGAGACTCGGAGATAATACGGGCCTTGTGCTTACGGGCCTTGAAGTGCGGGTCCGGGAAGCAGATGAAAATCTTGGAGAGTTGGTGGTGGCCGAAGAAGTTGGGGAGGAACTTCATTGTGTTGCTGCGGATTGCGGCGATGTTTTCGAAGTTTCCTGGAAAGATTTTCTCCGTGCCGATTTCATCGTCGTTGGCTGGAGTTGGGGGTGGGGCTGATTCGGTGCTTTCGGGTTGTGTTGAGGCGTCTTGGGGTTCGGTTGATGATGGGTTCGCGGCTTTGTTTTTTAGGCGTTGTTGTTGGCTGCGCAGGGCGTGGATGCGAGAGGTGACGTATTCCAGCACTGAGGTGCGGATTTCCATGCCTGTGGTTTTGTAGTTAGTTTTACGGTGCTCATTCAGCCGGGTGCATATATGAGTTTGAATCTCGCTGCGCTGTACTTACCGACCATCAAGGTATCTGGCATCAATGGCGCCAGGCCAACGATCAGCCCGCCGAATCCACATCCGATATCCACGACTTCGACCTCCTTGGTCAACTTCCGCCCTCCGCTGAGGTTCGTTTTGGATGTATCTGGATCGACGAATGCAGGGAAATGGGATGACCAGTCCATATGCGCGGGGCTGATGGGACTATTAGGGTGTGAGTTAGCTATTAGAGGAATTGTCGCCAATGGAGCTCGAGAATCCCGTAGAAATACCCATAGCAACAGTTTGACGTAAAACAGGCAGATAGGATACATACTATTCCAGCCGGTGGTCAGAGAATGGATTCGCATGCGCGCGCTGGCGGAAGAATTTCTTCTGCGGCATCTTGATGACGGAGCCGTCGGTGGATTCCTGCTGGGCCTGTACATTGCGACGGTACTCTTCGCGCTTAGTGCGCTTTGCAGGCGGATTTTGGGTGGCCATTGTGAAGAGCAGAGGGGACAGTCAAGAGAAATCGAAAAGGCCGAAGTCGAAATTGAGAAAAACCCCCGGGCCCCACCTTTTACTCCACAGCTTGGAGTCTCTCTCGACTGTCTCGTCTCTTCTTGTTCTCGACATTCTACTCGTTTTGTTTCTACTTTAATTTGGTTCATTTAGCTCTCTGCTCTTCAATATTCACTCTTTAATCCCTTCCAATATGACAACAACACCCCCCTTCCCGTTCCCACCAACCTACAACTTCCCCCCCTTCTTCACCCCGCAACCAAACACAACAACCCGCCACTCGCAGCTCGAGAAATGGTCCTCTCTGATCCAATCCTGGTGCCGGCATCATCGCCAATACCGTCTCTCCTTAATCGACGCCGTCGAAACACCGCTTTTCCACAACACGGCCCTGCGCAAGCGCCTTGATCTGCGCGAGGCCCGCGCGGTCGTCGACTGGATGACTAAGAGCGAAGAGGAAGGCGGCGGTGGGCGGCGAGCGGAGTGGATCTCGGATGCAGGAGGTGCGTCGTCTTTAGGGGGGCTGGGAAATGGTGCTGGGCAAGGGCCGAAGGCTGTTGCGTGGATTTGGTGGAGGAGGCCTGAGGAGTGGGCGGATGTGTTGGTCGAATGGGTTGAGGGCACTGGGCAGAGGGGGTCGGTTCTGACCGTCTATGAGCTTATTCATGGGGAGGGAGCCATGTCGCAAGGTGAGATTGTCTCTTTGGTTGTGAATGATAATGTCTACGGTGTGTGCTGATTCGCGTCTATAGAGTTCCATGGCATGGATACTGATGTCATGTTGCGCTCGCTGAATGTCCTTGTTAAGAGGGGCAGAGCGCAGATTTTTGGCGCTGAGGGCCAGGAGGGTGTTAAGTTCTTTTGAACAGCTCAAGATGAGATGCTGGGATTTCTCTATGAGATAAATCGTGGCTATTCGTGACATAAACAAAGCGCTTCCTATGTCCGGGTCAAAAGACATGTTAAACCACGTCGCCGATACTCCAAACTTATACACGAAATCCATGTTCTTGGGTTGAAAGCCCTAAGTGGATGAGGGTGTGGACTCGTTACCTTGGTACCAGTCTACTGGTCCATTGTCTCGATCATCTCATCGGTCAGCTCGTATTCGTCGGCAGCACGTGTCTGCTGCGACATGGCCATGTCCAGGAGCCAGTCAACCCGGACAATTCGTGGAGTTTTCTTGATATCGACCGCCAGTTGGCGGAATCGAGGCCAGACTCGAGCGTGACTAGCCCCGGTACTGCTGAGGAGGAAGACGTCCTTGCGGACAGGGCTTCCATCTTCCGATTCGCTTTCCTCGTCGCTCTCCTCCCGCCGAGAATGGTTCGTTATAGCCAGACGGCCACGGTAAAGCATGCACTCTCCTCCGTTTGTTTCAACAATAGATTTGAAGGCATCAAATCCGCCTCGAATGTCCTCGACGCAATAGATGCGATAGCCTTGCAGCATTTTATTCTTGTTCTTCTTTGCGTTTTTTGTGACAGAAGACAGGTCAAAACTGTACTTCTTCTCGGCTTCTTTATCCTCTAGAGGGAAATCGGAGGGGTCAAGCAGTTTCTCCTCCTTTAGGCAACTGTCAATGAACTTTGTGCTAAGAATCATCGGCGCATACGCGAGTGCGTTAACAAATTTGGTAGTTCGCAAGATCGACGGTGCGGCCAAATGAGTGCATCGTCGGGCATCTTGGACCACCATGATACCGAGATCTCGAAGTCCTCGCTGTGAAAGTGTCAGTAGATAGGTCTCAAGCCTATATTTTCATAACTTCAGTCGTCAAACGAACCTTGTCTGCATCTTCTTTCTTCTCGTTTCCCTTACCAACCCATCTCTGATAGCCAGTAATCAAGAGGTGCATAGCAATTGGTGGCCGAGACTTTTTCTGTCGTTTAGTCTCCACTGCTTGCTCGCCATCGCTCTCATCCTCAGCTTCAGGTGAAGCACGCTTTTTGTTCTCCTGAACCCGGCCCTCGTCTGACTTTCGCCTGCCACCGTAGATAACACCCCCCACGCGTTTCCTTTCCTTTTCGTATAAGGCAAGGTCCGGGACATACTCATGGAGCCGGGCAGCTGCCGCCTCTTTCGACTTGCGGCTACTGGTCGACGATGGTGTCTCATTTTCTTTGCCTTCGGACATGACTCGAGTTCGTGCGGGTGTTTGAATAGGTCGGCGTGACTTCCCATTACCCTGCGGGGTTCCGAGCGAAGTTTCCGGGGCATCCTCATCAATCCTCCTTTTCTTCTCGGCGGGAGGCTGCACTGAAACCATATTTTGATTCTTGCTCTGCATTGCGCGCCGTGGGCTATGAGCAATATTCTCCTCGGACGAGAAAAATACCTGCTCCAAAACATGGCGGTCGAGCGGGGTCTGGCCTGCGACTTCTCCGAGATTGGTTCGCAGAGGAAAGTGGCTATAGCGCGGGTTTGATGCCGGCTGGAGCTTCCATTTCGCATAACTGTCCTCCAGCCACAAGTGGTTGACAACTTCAAGGCCCCATTCCTTCGCAGCATTGCATTTCTCACTCATTCCGTGTGCCGTAATCAGATGGGTATTTTCTTGCTTTAAGGTTTTGGTACATTCTGCACCTGCTGCTGCGATCAAATTCTCCAAGTAGATTCTTGCTTCGCCAACATAATTAGACAAACTGATTTTCAAACCCTCAAATCCAGGGATTCCAGTGCGAGAGACCGGGTAGTGTAGGAGTCGTCTGAGGGGTGAAGTATATGTGTTGAAGGTCATGAGGTGGTAGAGCCATGCGAGATTCCCAACGTCGATGTTCAGTCGCGATGCCGTGCGGTATGAAAATCCTTCCCGGTAACGACAAATTAACATGTCTGCCACATCAATATTTGATGTCACTGTGGCACCGCCTTGTTCGAGGACGGCTTGGATTGACTCCTGCAAGTGGGAGCCGATTGCAAGATCCGGAGACAACATAATGGACTTTGCTTCAAAGACACTGCGTTGACCTGATTGATGCGCCGAACTAGGCGTAGGCAACTTAGAAGGATTTGTTGTCGATGCACCAACCAAATCCTTATTATCTTGCCATCGGATTGGAGTATCAGGACCCGCGCGCAAAATCTCTGGGTCTGGAAGTGTATATGGACGTTCGTCGATTCGTCGACCAAGTTTAAGGCAGTCGTCAAACCTGTTCTCAGTCAGCGAGGGTCACTGGCTGTTGTACCATGAAACTTACCAGTGTGGTAGTACAATCTTCACGTTTAATCTCTTCGCCTGCAAAATGCGCGCCTTGTCGGAGTCGGCCGTGAGGTCCACCAAATGTGTAACCTGTTGAGAAATTCTTGGAGCATACAATCCACCCTTCGCAACTACACCCCCTATGATTGCATCCTTGTCTCCCTCGGGTATGTCGCCGCAGGTAACCACCACATCGTTCATGAACAGGCGCGGGTCTGGGCTGTATTGGCGGGGGTTGGCCAGTTTCCGCTTCGTCAATGAGTTATTCACCCACTGTGGCTTCACCACTGGGATCAACGCATCACAGGCAGTACCGTATGCTTCGAAGTCAATAGTTGTAGAGATCAAATGGCTGAACTTGGCCACATCGGGGACCTCGGCACCGGGTTGGACAATCAGAGGCTCGCCGCCATTTTGCTCGATTAGAGTTGCTAGCTAGACGAGTTTATTTTGTCAGTCTAGTTCAGGCTGTCCTAGTGGCAGGAAAACACACCTGTTCTGCGGATTCGTTCGAAAGATCCTTGGAGCATACAATACAGAGGCAACACTGCTCGAAGAGCTTTGAGTCTCCGTTTTCAGCTGCCATAGCCAAAATTGTAGATAAAATATGCGATTAAAGACTGGACCGTTGATTAAAAAATCTCCAAGAGAGTCACATCCAAGTGTGAAACTAGAATGAGGCAATCAGGGACGCGCCCACGCGTGTTAGGAACGCCGGATCACGTGCACCGTAGCGCGCCGTGATGGAATTAAGATACTAGATCTACAGCAAGAAATAAAGAAGAATAGCATTAACAAAGGAAACACCCCAAATAATATTGTAAGAGACTGATTTTCGGCCGAAAAACAAAGAAATTTAACATGATGCATCACAGAACTAGACGCCTTCTCATACTTGACCCCCCCTTCTTTCGGACATCATCTGTGAAAAACTCAAAGAACTTATACATCTCCTGCATTATCTTTTTCGATTCATTGAATAGGCCCAAGGCTTTTCAGAAAAGTTTCAGCTGCTTGTCGCAATCAATCAGGTATCTTCAATTATACAAGGACAACTACCCACATGCGTGCAAGGCGAAGTTCTGCTACATACAACGATCATAAAAACATCACGAGGTCGATATGCATGCATGCTCCAGCTGCTATATACGAATGCATATGTAAACCAAAGAGTCGGGGAATATGGGAATATCAACATTAAAAACGAGGCCCAACAACTCGCTCAGATAACCACCAAGCTAGATGCAAACAACGAACAAGCCAGCTAAAAAAAGAAGAGAATCAAGCCGCCATCGTCAAAACGTACGAGGTGATACTATCCATGCGCTCAGTCGTCAACTTCAAGCTAACCGTCAATAGCTCACGAGCAATGCGCGGCTCTTTCTCCTGTAGCACCTTCCACTGTGCCCCCGTTAAACACCAAGCCACACAATCGCGTTCGGCCTTGACCGTCGCCGTGCGGCGTGTATCACTGAAGAAAGGCAGTTCGCCGCACGGTCGACCAGCGACAATGAGCTCGAAGTAGCGGCCCTGTGGGAGGTCATAGCCAGCGCGCAGCATGCCAGACTCGAGGAGGTAGAAGGCGCGCGGGGTGTCGCCTTCGTGGTATAGGACTGTGCCGGCGGGGTAGCATTCGCAGGAGAAGTAGGCGCAGGCAGGGAACCAAAAGTCTTCGTTTTCGGTTGAGAGGCCTTGGAAGGTTTGGAGGAGGAGTGGGAGTGGTTGGCGCATGGCGGACCAGGCGGGGGAGGCCATCATTGTTGTTTCGTGGGCTTGGATGGTTGAGGTCGCCACTCGCTGCAGGTGCTGGCGGCGGGGTGAGCTGACAATGTTGTCAGCTAGGGTGATAGGTTTGGGTCCTGAGGGCACGGGGACTGAGGCGGGGATTTGGAGGAGCTCGGAGTTTGCAGTTGAATCGGTGGGTGTGGAAAGTGCTTGCTGACGGCTGTAGAAGACTTTCAGGTAGTTGTTCTCGCAGAACTCAAGGGCTGAGTTCAGGTCTTCGAAGATAGGGACGCCAGATTCTGGCTCGAAAAGTCCTACATTTTGTAGGGACCTTCCTACGTCACTTTCGACATCCAAGCCGGATATGGCCGTTTGTACGTTGCGCTTTTGGAGAACGCGGTTGATGCGGGTGAATGCTTCTGCGGCTGAGAAGTCGATTCCGTAGACTCGAGTAAAATCAAGAATGATGAATCGAATGGGACGACGGTCGAAAGCTTCCTCCTCGATCAGGCCACGCATGGTGTTCTCGACATTCACGATAGTTCCAAAAAAGAGATATCCACCAAGCTTGATAATGAGGGTCTGCTGCCCAGCTTCGCGTAGGAACTCCTGTTGGATAGGAGGACGTCGGACCGTTGACCCAGAAATTTCACCCGAGAATGTTGCTCGAATGGCAGATTTCCGAGACGTTTGGACCACAAAGTTCACGCAAGCTAAAATGATCCCAATGAAGATTCCGACCACGAAGTCCCAAGCGCCCATCGTGACAACGATAATGACAACGGTTAGATATTCAAGCCGGGTGAGTTTTCCCCATGTGTCCACCAATGCCTCCTGCAAAAGCTCAATGCCCAACAAGAAAATCAAGGCACCAACGACCATAATGGGAATAAAGCCGATGATTACTGGGCCAATGACCATAATCCCTGCAGTGGCTGCGGCCAACATCAGACCCGCCAACCGAGATGACCCGCCACTTGCAATGAAGAGAAGACTGTTGGTATAAACAAGATAGTTCTGCTTCCGTTAGCACATTACCCACAGCTCTAGCGATGGGGTCACATACCTGAATGCTTCCTGCGAATCCTGAAAGTGCATTCGTCACGCCATGTGCCATGAGCTCTCTGTCAACGTTGAGATTGTCTTCGCCGGTGGATATGCCGAGAGCAGGTACGTTGATGGGCACATGAAGCACACCAAAGAATGTCAAAGCGAACATGGCCGGAATTGTCTCACCAAAGGCAGTCCAATTGACCGCCGAGAGATCTGTGACGAATTAGCATGGAACGCCAGAAGAATTACAACCAATTGACTCACCATAAAGAGAATAGAAATGATACCACGGGTTGTTCGAAGACGGGGCAGCAAAGACCCATCCATTGTGGCGCAGAGCGCCCATAGAGATCCTAGCGCTTAGAATGACAATGTAGAACACTGCAGCAACGGCAATGAAGTAACCACCAACAAGGAAGTTCGAGCGAACAAATCGTTTGAGAACAAGAAGTCCAATGGCAAGGAAGAGGGGTATCATCCAAAGAGGGAAAGTATCAAGAGTGAAAAGTTTCTGAATCGTGGGGAGGTTGTACTCGAGAGACCCGGGAAGCCGGGCTGAAACCTCCATTCCAGTCTGTAGAAGAAAGTAGCCCACACCACCGATGCACCCGATGAGAATATGACGGGGAAAGAAGCCAATGAGTGAGCCCAGCCCACATACACCCATTAAGAAGAACACCAAGCCGGTGAGAACCGAACTGACCGAAAAGGCTAGAATAGTCGTTGCAATCACTGATTTCGGGTTGTCCTTGCCGACTGAATTCATGATGGTAAAAGCCATCTGGTGGAAGAAGGGTACTACTTCAATCATCTCACTTCCTATTCCTCCTTTGAAGATCGAGCCTCCACAGGAGAATACCACTTGGGAAATAATGGTACTGACATAGAACATCGAGATACCGTCAGTTCCCAGGTGAGCGAACAGGGGTTCTCCCAGAGGGAACAAGATCATTCCATAGGATAAAGCATCAAGAATGTTGAGCAGTAGACCGAGCAATACGGCAGGAACCAGACTGGCGGGGTATACCACAGCCTCTTTCCATATGGCTCGCCCATCCCATGCCTTTGGGTTCGACAAGGTCCGAGTATAATGGGTGACGGATGATCTTCCTTTCGTTATTAAGTTTGGAGATCGTTGTGCAGCCGCCCTTTGATTCTCAGCGTCGCTTGCACTTCCATAGTTTTGTATAGATTTGGATCGTGATTTAGATAATAACGAGGTGCTTTCATTGTCTCGTTCGGGTTCCGCATAGATCATCGGTGGGGGGAAGGAGATATCATCGGTCCCGGGTTGCGTCGCCTGGTCCTCCTCCGTATCCGTCAATGGACGGCGAATCATCTCTGTCAAGGCCGAAGGGCCTGAAGCCGAAGCAGGGTCAACTGAGGGATACCCTGGCTCCAATAACGCCTCCCCCGCTGCGGATTGAGAGTTTGCAGCTTCGTCCTGGGAGTAACTTGCAGAATCCCGTCTGCCGTGGAATATATCAAGGGTGGGGGGTAAGCCGGACCCGTCCCTCAAGAGGGAATTCTTATTCAGCGAAAGGCCATAGGTAGCGAGTTCCGCAGTCTGGTCACGGAGACCGCCTGAAGCATAATGAGCCGGATCTGTGATAGGTCGAATGGTCAGTAAAAAATTGCGCGGTATCTCTAGCCCTGCACTATGTATGCACAATGACCCACCCATATTGCTATTGAAGGACCGGTGGTAAAATGAACGGTTTGGTGTTCTTGTCGTTGATCCATTGTAGCTGGATGATTCCGCTCCCATTGGACCGGGCGGGCTACCTGGATTTGCATGTTCCACCATCGTTTCTGATGGGGCGTTACCCTGGATGTCGCGGTCAAACATCAGATTGCGTGATAGCGCTGATGCGCGAGAGTCGCGACGGCCACGAGGCTGCAAAACCGCCATGGTATCTCGCGCAATTGCTGTCCAACCAAGTGCGTCGAAAATTTAAGAAATTCGGAAGTTAAACGGGGCCACTTAACGCATTGGGCCGTTTGGACAAACAGATGACGCAACCGAGATGAACATTGCAAGGGGGGCTCAGTGAATTATATAGAAGAGAAAGGGCGTTACCTATCAACACAAATCTGAATTAGCAACAGACCAGATAGAAAAGATCCGAAGTATCGGAGTTCCAAGGTTTTTTGACTAAACGTCCCTTATCTCTTAATAGGCGCGCTAAACCGGATCCGGACTAATACAGATGAAGATAGTGGGAGGTGGCAGGCCCGTGCGCAAACAGCCAACACTCGGCTGACCTAAGCGGATAAGATAAGACGCTATCACGTGATAGATTAGGGTCTCTCAACTATGCTCTCAATAGTTACATGGAGCTACATGTATGTTGTAGTAAATCGCCTTACAGTTAATATAGAGAGATTAGTCATAGTAGCAGCAATGTAAGTAGTATTAAGCAAAAGGAATCAGCTATTTGCATAAAATCAACCAAGAAGAAAATTATGCCGGAACAAGGTTCATGAAGTGAAGGGATTCGACGGCATAACTACGCAGTTGTTCGATATTCAGGTAGAGGATGTCATTTCCGTTGCTTCCAGCTGGCAGTGCGGGCCCAAAAATATCTCTGCGTCGGATCTCTAGCTGTTGACTGTTCCCATTGGCTGGGCGGGGGAAGATGGTCTGCACAAATTCCAGGTATAAGTATGTGATAGTTTAATCAGAAATCTGGAAATCTGGAACATACCTCGCTTTGCTGAAGAATTGGCATACCATTTCTGTCTCTCTCAAAGAGCTCGACAGTTCCGGAGACACATCCTTGTAGCTTTCTCCACTTGATGATAATGACAACCCTAATCGAGCCATCACCACCCACCAGTAACAGGTTCATATCATTGTGAAGTCGTGCAATCGACTGACTCCAGACACACTCTACCGCAATAGTTGGCATGATATGACCATCGACACGGAAAAAGAAGTCGGGTTCTTTCCTAGAGTTGCGATATGGGCCGGATCGGAATTGGAGGGCTTTATATGTTAGCTGAGAGTTTCTGTTTAGATAAGTGAGTTGTAAGGTAACTTACTTGTCCCGACTGCCACACGTAAGAGTGATTGTTCATTTTGCGTTATGTCTTGATTCAAGAGCCAGTCGATCATCTGCTGTACTAGCCAGTTCTGGATGCAATTGTGTACCTCTGTCGGCTTGACTTTGATCCGTAGAGTGTGGTTCTTTGTATCGTGGGTTTTCCTGGTAGATTGGGTAAGAGTCAAGGGAAATCAGATACAGAAGGTCTTTGACTTACTGAGAAGGGATCTTCTCGTCAATATGCTGGAACACGGTCGTCCCCCAGAATTCAGGCACGTCGGTAAACAAAAAGTCGTGAGAGCTTTCGACTTGACGTAGGGAGGAGAGGACGTGATCTTCAAAGGCAGACAGGCTGTCAAACTGTTTCGCTGAAGTCGTACTCATGGATGAGCCTGTCTCGGAGACAGAGATGGAAGCGGGGACGTTCGGCATGGTGAGCGAGAGAAGAGAAGTTGCTTTGCTGAGGTTCAAGAAGGAGGATGTGAAAATGGAAGGAAGGTGCGACGCGTAGGATTAGAACTCGTCAGTGAGAGTAAATGATGCGGGAACTCACCAAATTAGGGATATGGCCGAGGGGCTTAGGATATAGAGTTTGCTCTCAGTTAGCTCTCAGTTACCTCTTAGTTGCTATGATAGCTCTTTCACTATTCATTGTTATATAACCTTTCTTTTACTTAACCGATCATGTTCTTTTAGATCAATTAGGAAGAACATTACAAACCAACATTCCTAAAAAGGCTACCAGTTCATAACCCCACTTTTTTAGCTGCCTAGTTTTCTAGGTTGCAAGGCTTGATTAACGTAATCGGTAAGCGAGTGGATCAGACAAGTGAGTGGATCAGGCAATGCAAAACGCGTCCATCAATTAGCACTTAGTTAATTCAACCACCCACCATGCCACCAATTCGCTCCCAATCCTCTGCAAATTCAACAGAGCAAGAGGGTAGGATCTTATTAGCTATTCAGGCTTTTCAAAATAAAGAAATCTCTTCAATACGCGAAGCAGCACGCCGATTTAACGTCCCCTTCTCTTCCTTACGGAACCGCCTTACCGGCATCAAAAATCGCCCTAAATCTCGCGCCAACAACCATAAATTGACAGAAATAGAGGAGGAATCTCTTCAAAAATGGGTTCTCTCTATGGATCTACGTAGAGCTGCTCCCCGTCCTTCTATGGTTCGAGAAATGGCCAATCTTCTTCTTTAATAGCGCGGAACTACCCCAGTTCTTTCGGTCGGTAAGAAATGGGTATATAACTTTATGAAACGGCGTCCTCTCCTTTCCTCCCAATTCTTAAAACAATATAATTATAAGTATGCGAAATGCGAAGACCCTAAAATCATTAGGGAATGGTTTAATCTAGTTCAAAAAACCATTCTTTAGTATAGAATCGATCTAGATAATATTTATAACTTCGATAAGACGGGTTTTACTATAGGATTGACTGTAACGGCAAAGGTCATAACTAGAAGTAAATACTACAGTTAGAGATCACTTCTACAACCTAGGAATTACAAGTAGGTAACTACAATTGAATATATAAATACTTCTGGGTAGGCGCTTCCTCTATATATGATTTTTAAAGGCAAAGTCTTTATTAAATCTTAGTTCAATAGCCTCCCAGGAGATTGGCGCTTTAAAGTAAGTCTAAACGGTTAGACTTCTAATAAAATTAGGCTTCGCTAGCTTTAAAAGCTCTTTATTCCATCGACTTTTCCGCAGTTAAAGGGTCGGTATCGGCTTCTAGTACTTAATAGTTACAGAAGCCATTTAACCCCTCAATTCGACCAAATTTACGAGGAAAACGATATTATACCAATTTATATACCACCACATTCATCTTACCTTTTACAACCGCTTGATATCGGCTATTTTACAGTCCTAAAACAATCTTATAGTCGGTTAGTTAAAACGAAAATACAGAACGGGATCAACCATATTAATAAACTTGACTTTCTCGAAGCATACCCTTCTACACGAATTAAAGCTTTTAAACCAGAGACAATCAAGAATAGCTTCTCAGCAGCTAGTTTAGTACCCTTTTTACCCGATAGGGTACTTTCAAAACTGAATATCCAGCTTCAAACCCCAACCCCCCCTCCTAGCCGGGATAGCGATTAGGACCCCAAAACTCCCTTAAACTATATACAGTTACAAAAGCAAGCTTTATCAATCAAAGCTTTACTTCGTATAAGATCAAGAAGCCCTCCGAGCCCACTACACTACGCGATAAATCAAGTTTTAAAAGCCTACCAAATCACTATACAATCCGCCGCCTTTCTTAAAAAGGAAGTGAGTGAATTACGCGCTACCAATAAGAAGCAGAAGCAAAAGCGGACCCAATCTATAAGAACGATAGTCCATAAAGGAGATCTCTCAGTTCAGGAGGTTCGTAAGCTACAGTCAGAGCCATTTGAGGCCCAAGTAGCGCGTATCAACAACTATCGTGAGCAGGTTTCAGAAGGTTTACAACCACCTCCCCGGGCCGGGCGATCGTGTGGAATATGTAGGCAGCCAGGACATAGAAGAGAGACATGTCCAGATAGATGATGATTTTAGTTTATTTAATTTAATGGCGTTATGGTCGAGATAAATGCATTTGAATTCAATGGGTTGCATTGCCTGATCCACTCACTTGTCTGATCCACTCGCTTACCGATTACGTTAACTAACTAACTAGTTAGTTAATGGGGATAATGATTATTAATGAGAGCGGAGGCGAACGGGCCTTTGAGATACATAATAGGTTGTCTCTTCATTGCGCTAACTCTAGACTAAATTCGGAGTACCTTGATAATCATACGTAATAAAAATAGTATACAACAAGCTGCAGCTCCGTGGTCGGAACACAGTGGTGCTATGCGCCGCATGATCGGCATTGACATGCAGCCGCAGCCTTGTTTCCTTGCATAACGCCAGCCAACGAGATAACTAGTTATGGTCATCGCTCCAATTGGTCTTTTACCATAGGCCAATCTAGCCCTAGAGAGTAATCCGAGTAAAAAAGCTATTGATCAAACCAGCAGTCATACATAATTAGACTCGCACTATTGCAATACAGAAAATCTTCATTTTGGCCGAAGTCTAGACACACTAACGGCGGGGGTATCTCAAAGTACATGGTCCCTTCATAAAACCACTGTAGATATCCAACGCTAATTCATATTTCTTATACTCATATAATTCTTGTACTCATATAAAACCTGAAGCAGCCAGGTAGTTCCGACTCACATTCAAGTCAACCGCTCCAGGAAACCCTGCGCAATCAGACGCTCCACATCACCTTGACGAACATAAAGCTGACTGTTCTTGGTCAAGTTGATCACCCTAAACCCGAATTAGCCACCAAACACCCAAACGATTGCCAGGAGAAAAAAAAAGAAAAGAAACATACCCATATTCCGTCTGAATCTCACCAGCATCCTTCAACACCCGCACATCAATAAACAAATGCTTCGGCGGCTCCAGCGTCCCCGTCAAATCAATATCCGTCCATTGGCCCTTATACGCAGCAAGCATATCCCCGTACTGGCGGAAATACTCCTCCTCCTCGGGACTCAGCGAGCTATGCCCGTTCGCCCCGAGAGCCGTGTGCTGCGGCGCTGCGCTGTCATCGGACGGCTGCTGCTGCTCGAGGATATCCACGCCCGTCCAGCAAAGCTCTTCAAGCTTGTCTGTGCGCACGCGGTGATACGCAAGCAGGCAGCGCTTGTTCCGGCGCATGCAAAGGTGGTCGACGAGGAGCGCGCAGGCGATGGCTGGGTCGGCCGAAGGGTTGAACGCGCCCTCGAAGGGCGCTAGGAGACGGAGGACATCGCGGTCGAGATCGCGAACTTCCCGGGTTACTGCGCGCACGATTTCGGTTTGGTAGGGAGGTAGGTGGGCGAGGGATTGGGTGCGTTTGGCGTGTTGGACCTATCGCGCGTGAGGTGTTGGTCAGCGGGTTGCGTTTTCTCTTGTTTTGATATTTTACGGTCGGGCTGTGTTGGGATGATGAATGCCCGAGAGCGGGATGAGTCTATAGCCCACGTACCAATTTGTTGCCGAGTTCGCCGTACATGGTGGCCACGCGGTCGGCTTCCTGTTGAGGGACGCGACTTTGATCCATTTCGGCGAGCGCCAAGATCGGCTCTTAGTCAGGTGGAGTGATCGGCGCCAAGGTTAAGTATGGAGTCTTGTCTTGATCCAAAAGAGATAGATGAGACACTAAAGTGACATTAATGAATTGAATAATATTCTGTAGGTTTGAATTTTTACAAAAGACAGACAAAGAGGAGGGGGGATGCAAACAAAGCTGGAACGAGCACAATAGCGTCAACTCTGGACGAATCGAGGGAAAGTGCCCAATGATATTATTTTCGAATCAAAAGGGCGAGTCAATTGATTGATACTAGTTACTATCAGAATTGCATATAAGTCCTGCATTTGTGATCTGATATCAGCAGATCGTATAGGCCTCGGCTTCGCGGCGCAACTATTCACAGAGACCTCCACTTGTATTTGAGTGTAAATTTGAGACACACATCAATTAGTAGTAATATATCAACTCCCAAGGCCCTGCTATATTGACATACAGTAATTAGTAGTGGGCTAAGGTGCACCCCATAACCTACGGTGTGGGCATTGCTGCTCCCTCATCGCGATTGGGCGCTAGAATTGATAATACACCCCGAGTCTTGAACTTTATGGTGAAAATGGCAATTGATGACCGGAATGACGTCTATCACCTCCGCACAGATGAGTTTTGGTTATATCCCCAACCACTCAGCTCAATCGCTCAGGTCCTAGAGAGGTGCCGTTGGTTTGATGGGTCATATAAGTACTCCAAAAAATACGAGAGCTACCACCGCTGACTGAACATCCTCTCAGCTAATTGGCTATTGCTGAGACAGAAGACCGTGCGAGCCTACAACTTAATAGAATCCTGCATGGGGCCTAAATGGGAGGCCTGGATGGGAGGCCTGACTAACATTTATGCTTACTGCCGCCACCAAGCCCCCAAATCTGCTCCCCAAAGCTAAATTCCACCATTATAAAGAGCTTATTCTGCCGCAACTTTGCACGAATTTAATCTGATTCAAACCTCTCGAGATCATATCGCTTTCAAGCTTTTGAAAATGTCCGACCAAATCCAATTACACGGTGAATATCTACTGGTTAGGAACATAGCCGAACGCGACAGGTGAAGAAATTAGCAGCAATTCTATCCTCTAGTAATATTAACATGGAATACAGACTGGATCTGCAATATAAAGCCTGGCAGGCCAATATTGGGTATCTCCTTCATCCAGACATCAAACAACATGATCGTATGCGCATTGCAGATGTCGGTACAGGAACTGGGTGAGTAACAACTCCATTAAAAGAAGAAAGCCCTGACACTATTATCCAAGGATCTGGTTACGTGAGCTCGCAGCTGCCCTCCCAAGTACTTGTCAGCTTGACGGGTTTGACCTCTCAGACGTCATGTTTCCCCACAAAGATGCCTTGCCGGAAAATATCACCTTCCATCATCAAAATTTTCTTGAGCCATTCCCAGATGAGTATCTAGGAGAATACGATGTTGTCAATGTTCGAGTGATGGTGGTAGCTTTGTCTTCTGACGAGTGGGAGCCTGCCGTGCGAAACTTGATGACACTTCTTAGTATGCAGTTTCCCAGCTTAGCTTCGATTTATCCAAGATTCTAACATACTACTGAACAGAGCCAGGAGGTTATTTACAATGGATAGATTGCGCCGCACATGAGTGTGCAATCAAAGGAGAGCCCGAGGGGAAGCGAGCCACTCATGCACGATATGGAATCGACTTATTCCGTAGGACTCTTATTTCGCTTGGGAAAACACCAAAGTAAGCTTGACTATCAGGGACTAAATAGAGAGGCTAACTCCCTTTAGTATTGCTACCCTTCGTGGCACTTTCCAGAAATCTGGACTGGAATCCTGTGAAGAGCGGATCTACACTCTTGACAACCCGGCCACGCGGGAAGACCTCAATCTCACGGTCGTTATCGGAATCCAGCATGTTCTGACTACTGCTTTCAAAATGCACAAGTTGAATGAAATACAATCCATGGATCAGATTGTAAGTCTGAGGGAGGCTATGCTAAGTGACTTGCACAGCCTAGGTTGCTATTATTGCTTTGATGTTTATGTCGTGGTTGGGAGAAAGATTTGATTGAGCAGGATTCGGCTTGCCTCTTTTTCTGCTGCTGAACTCGGCAGCATTCCTCATAAAGGCTAACTAATTCTCCTAAGTACATTTGATCAATCCCAGGGCTTGACTTCAAAGTCTCTGCTGGCGCACAGCGTCCGATGGTTTCTTGGAGTCACCGTAGTTAAGAGCATAGCTGTAGGTCGAATCATAATGCATCGCCCAGTAATGATCCCAGATGCACTTGGTGATGGGACCAACCTGGCCATCGTTCACAGGCTTTCCATCTAGCACGGTGATCGGCATGATACCACCAGCAGTGGTGCACATGAAAAGCTCATCGCAGTGATATATCGACTCAATCGGCACGAATTCGACACGGAATTCAATGCCATTGGCGCGCGCCGCATCAAAGACACTCTTGCGGGTCACACCCTCGAGGACTCCACGCTCGGGTGTGTAGAGAACGCCGTTCTTGATGATAACGATGTTGAATCCAGAGCCTTCTGTGAGATTTCCATCTCCATCGGTGAGGAAAGGGTATGCAGCACCGCGGTCTGAGGCTTCAAACATTCCGCGAGTCAAGTCGCCCCATTGCAGATTCTTGATGGTTGGGTCAAAACAGCCAACAGGGGTTCTCCGAACAGTGCGAGCAATTATGGCGCTACCACCGCCATACTGCATCTCTGGCTCCATAACCCAGGAGTATGGTAGGACGAACATATACAGATTCTGCTGGGTGAGCTGTTCGGGTGTAGAGCCACGAACGCCAACGAGACCCCGGGTGACGATCAGCTCGACAAAAGCGTCTTTGATTCCGCTCGTGGTGGCCATTTGTCCAAGGATGCGCTTTATTTCCTCCCTTGGCAGCGGAAGCTGCATTCGCATCTTGCCGCAACTAGCATCCAGCCGAGAAATATGATCGTCGAGACGGAAGAAACGCCCATCCCAGATTGATGGCACGTCATAGGTGAGATCGCCATGCAGAAATCCCTGGTCCATCATAGGAATGCGAGCCTGATGGAAAGGAACGAACTCTCCCTCAACCCAGGCGATACCCTTGGCAAAGGGATTACTGCTGGCTTCAAGCACAGCTTTTCGTGCAGCGTAGGCGCCGAAGATTTCATCCATCGAAGTCATTTTGGAGAATGGAGGGTGAAAGACAACCACACGGAGTTGAGAAAAGAAGAAGCGAGTTCGTGATAGAAGATGGTGTTATCAACCGTCACACAGCTACACCTTTAAATAGGCTTTAATGGCTGCGAGGGGGTTCTGGTGCCGAGGCCCAACTGCTGATCTCCTCTCCTTCCTAAAGCAGTATAATATTGTTCCGGGGAAGCCATTTTGCTAATCTTGGCGAATCGACAGCGCTTATCTCCGACGATATGACAGACCTCGATTTCCTTAATCGGCAGAATAGGATGGGTCGTCTGCGTGGGATGTGATTCGACCGCGAGAGGCAGAACCGAGATTCGGGATTCGCCACAAAGCCGAGCGGGAACGCAGACAAGCCCGCTTGCCTAATTGGGTACTTCCGCTTCTGGACGCCCTTCGATCATTCGTATTGTCAGCCACGATAAGACATGAAGGCAAAGTTAATCAATTCACAGTATGGAATTGATCTAGGATCAAGTGCAATATCTCCTTCTAAGAATGGAAAGAGTCATTTCTCAGATGCCTAGAATGCTCTCTTATCTCCCTCTTGCGAAGAGACATCAAGCACCACGGTAACGGCTGATAACTATCTACACAGGTAGCTAAGAGTTAAAAACGAAGCTTCTTTCCTTACAATATCCTTTCGATCAGTTGATTTTTTTCATTCTTTCCACGCTTCGGAACTATGACGAACATTGATGATCTCGAACTCGAGGCCGCTGGCTATGAGGCCGCTATGCCTCGTCGGTTCTCCAAATGGTCTCTGGGAGCCCTGTCTTTCACCCTGACATGCACGTGGCTAGGCACTGGTTCAGCAATTGGTATCGGCTTGACCGAAGCTTCGTCAGGCGGTACTATCTGGGCTCTCCCAATTGCTGGGGTCATGACAACGATAGTTTCAATCGGAATGGCCGAGCTAGCCTCTGCCTACCCAGTTGCAGGTGCCCAGTACTACTGGTCTTTTATGGTTGCACGAGAAGACTATAGGCCCTTCGCTTCATTTGTGTAATTGCATCTCCTCCTCGAACCGCCTGTGAAAATCTATTTTGCTAATCATCTTTTTTGTTTAGAAACGGATGGATGAGTGTCATCGGTTGGTGGCTCTCTTCTGGATCTGTCGCCAATTTCGTCGCCTCCATGGTTCTCGATATTACCGTCGCCTGGTATCCGGACTATGACCCAAAGCAATGGCACGCGTATCTGATTTACGTCTGTCTGATCTGGTTGGCGGCTTCGATCAATATCCTGATGGCAAACTGGATTCCTCTTTATAACAAGCTGATGTTTGTCTTGGCCGTGCTGACACTGACCTCCACAACTATTGTGTTGTTCGTCGTTACGAAGGACCACGCCTCTGGCTCTGCCATCTTTACCGATACCACGAACCGGACAGGCTGGTCTTCCGATGGATTTGCCTTCATGCTCGCCGTGGCAAACTCCGTTTTTGCCTATCTGGGTAGCGATTGTGGTGCTCACATGTGCGAGGAGATTCCTAACCCGTCTAAGAATGTGCCCAAGGTCATGATCTACCCGCTCCTAGCAGGCTTTGTTACAACGTTACCCTTCGCCGCGGCTCTGCTATACGCTACCCCTGATATTGATGCCGTACTCCATACTGTGACCGGCCTTCCCCTGTTTGACATCTACTACAACGGAACAGGCTCTCGAGTGGCAGCTTCGATTCTCATGGCTTTCTTCGCCTTTCTTTTCTTTAGTAACTTGGTGGCCAATGGTATGTGGGTTGTGAAAAGGTATTTGAAGTTTTTCTAACGATAATTTGCAGCTACTACGGCATCACGCACAATCTGGGCTGTTTCCCGTGATGGAGCGCTGCCTTACTCTGGGTATTGGCAACGTGTACATCCTGGAATGCAAGTTCCCATCCATGCTCTTCTATTATCTGCGGTATTCGTTTCGGTATGATACATTTTCTCAAACCTTTTGGGTCACTCCCAGTTAACAAGTTCAATAGCTATATGGACTCATCTTCCTTGGATCCTCCACTGCTTTCTCGGCTATGGTCAATGCAGCCGTTGTGTTTCTTCAGACGTCCTGCGTTCTTCCTCAGGCTGTTTTGCTATGGCGCGGCCGTGACCGCGTTCTTCCAGCACGCTATTTCGATCTCGGCCGGTACGGGTCTACTATCAATGCGATCTCAGTTTTGTGGGTGGTATTCCTCGATATTATCTACTGCTTCCCTACTGAGATGCCTGTGACCCCCGAGAATATGAGCTATGTGTCAGTCGTTTGTACTGGACTTGTTTGCTTTGTGATTGTGCTATGGCATACCACCAAGAAGGGGGTTTTTAAAGGACCGAGGGTCGACTTCGGTATGCTCAATGCTAGGAGAGAAGAAGCTATTGAAGGTATCTTGGTGGGCAATGATGGCGTGGAAGGAAAAGATATCGGGGCATATAAGGGCGATGTGAAGCTAGAAAGGGGCTGATATGTGCTTATGATCTGTTGGCTGACTATGATTCTCATGTTTTACCCACAGCCAACTCGTTTTCCTATGTTGTACATTAAAGGTCTAAAATGCTTATAAGATCTTTATAGTCGAATAATCCACAATAAGTTGAATAGTTGATTTAGGTCCTACTCTCTGCCAATATGTTTTGCATGTCATGATGCAATATAAGTCTCGAGAGGCTTGACGGGAAATCACTTGATTTATAGATAAGATACTCTGAGCAGTTTTTGTCTAATGCGAGCCAGGTCTTTGGAAAGGGTACTCAATTCAAGATGATTGCGGAGCGAAGCGTAGCAATTATAGACATGGGAGGGAAGAAGAAGTGATATCTGTTGGTATATTGGAGCGGATTATAGTATTTCCGCTCATGAACAATCTCCGGGACGTACTCCGGGACGGCTCTCGCTCTGTTTCAGGCAAGTCATTGCCCACACCAATGTTCCCTGTTGTACGTCAAGTACAATTCGGAAGGAATAGGGAGAAGGAACCTCGCATTTCTGCAATTATAATGGAAGTTGTGGCGATCAGCCTGAGAATAGCAGTGTTTCTATCTGTGAATGTGACAAAAAGGAGATTCTTCTGCTACTACTACTTCGAATTGGAATGAGAAATTAGAACCTTGTCGTTAATGAGCTATACACTAAAAATCCTATTATCATCCTAAGAGCAACTCAAACACCAAAGATTGACCTTTAACATCTCCCGTCATCCAGTCTTGCGGGCCAACCTTGAGTCCCCACCAGTATGAACTTCTCGTCGAAGGATCCCAGTCCTTCCATATGCTATCCAACAGGGAAGACGCCGTTTCGAAATGATATATTCGAGATACGTCTCTCCAGTGATTGCAATACTCACGAACCATAGAACGGGTGTTTTCGTCGCCAACTTCCGCGGCGGCTAGAAACACAGGTAAAAGAACCTGCTTCTGGGTGGTGTCTGAGCACGGCATGCACCGTACGCAGTCGAGTATAACACGAGAAAAGTAGTCAATCATGCGGAGTTCTCGATCGTCCGGCTTCTTCGTGAAGACACGATAGATGTAGAGCAATATGGCATGCCTCCATGCTTCGATGCAGTAGTACCGATTGCGTCGCAGATTGAAGTCTTCGGAAAGATCGTTCAATTCGTCCCATTCGACTTTCTCTTTGTTGACATACCCTTTTACTTCAGCGATGATGGTTCGGACGGGGTGAAAGTTAAAAATGGTCCATTCCATCTGGATGGTCCTTTGATATATGCATGCCAACTTTGCAAGGCGTGCCATAATGGAGATCAGTTCAAACGGGCACCCGTTTAGGCCGAAGCAAGACCATCCATCGCTGTCATCAAACCCTTTCAGTCTCTCCAACAAGGAGAACGGCAAACGAGGCTCGGTTCGAGACATGAGCGCAATTGTTGTGTCCCACCTGCCGAGCTGTCAGACGGAACAGAGAACGATGGTCAGGGTGGGCAAGACGTCTAGGCATACCATATGAGCATCGCCAGTTGCGCACGCATTCGAGAATCACAGAAACCTCTTTCCAAATCCTTCCTTTCCGTGATAAGTTTTTGAGCACCATCCAGATGTACTCCCCACGCACCAAACGCGGACTGGCAGACCTTGAGGACATGTCAGATTATATTCCAGCAATGATGATAGGGCCAAATTTACCTCTATACTGACGAGTATCAGGAGGGTATCAAGAAGTGGCAGGGAAGTCGGCTGACTTAAGGCATGGCTGAAGAGATGAAGAGCGGTAGATCGGTGATGGTGCATTTCGAGTATCAAATCATCGGTGTTGTTCATCTTCGAGAGGTGATGGAAAGAAAGGGCTACGATCGCATGTAGAAGAAAGTCGCACTTTTCGAGATTTCCAGTCTGAGCTCTGAAGGGGTTGATACGACAATCCCTGGTGAGCGGCATGACGCAGAATTTCTCGTCGTCTGTAAATTCTTAGTAGGAAGGACGTTGCAAGAAATACACAAGAAGTGTATACGTACATATAGCGAGAATCGGCTCATACTTGTGAGCTAGGTTGCGATATTTTATTGGATATATGGGTTGCATATCTTCGAGCACAGGATTATTGGTATCTTGTTCTGTGGCCCAATTCGATAAACACGTTTCGAGGTTCGTCATAGGAAACAGCTCTTCAGCAAGGTCGCCGTCCGGTTGATCTGAATTGCCAATAATGCCCAGCGAAGTTTCTTGGTCTGGGTCCAGAATAAGTTGGGTAGGAAGCTGAGCCTGCTCTATCGTGTCTGGGCAGGATGCATCAATCGAATTTCCATCGACATAGTCAATAGTTCCTAATCCCAGTTCCCATCCTGGAGACAGATGCTCATCATCTTGCAGTTGATAGATCATAGATTCATTGGATTGGCTACCGCACTCTTTGCTGATTCCCAGCTCGTCAGGACTCGATGGTTGAGGTGTCGAAAATGATAGGCTGGCCTTGCCAGTAGTGTTGGAAAAGTTTGCCCCATCCTGGCGTAGGGAATCATCTAGACCCAGATCCAATATTGACTGGTAAATAGTGTTCGATTGCCTCGGCTTCCGCCGTCTTTTCGGGCGACCTTGCGTGAACTTGAAGGTGTGCTGCGGATCTCTCTTGGAGCTGCATCCAGATTCGCGACCTCTGGGTGGCAATGTCCCATGATTAAGAACTGGCAGATCTTTCCAAACGAGATCCATGACAAAGCCGCCGCATGCTCTGCTGTTTGATATACATGTGCCGCACCGAGGACGCTGCCGGTCGCAACCTTCTCTAAGAGCCGTACAAGTGTGGCAATCGTTCTTGGAGAATGCGAGAGAATTAGTGCGATTCCCAGATGGACCCATGCCGTGTGGTTGAAATTGGTTTACAAGGAAGGAAACATGTAATCACGAGAGGACGTATGTTGTACATAGGCGACCGATAAGAAAGATAGTAACTGGGGGGTTTCCAATAAACTCTCGCGCTAATGTGGCAAGGCAACTGGTTTCTTAGCTATTAGTGGAGCTATGCTAACTCTAACGTAATTCACAAGCGAGCCGGCCACACAAGCGAGCCGGCCACCCAACCAAACCCATTGAATTCAAATACATTTATTTCAACCATAACGCCATTAAATTAAATAAACTAAAAAGGATCATTTATCTGGACACCTATTAATCTTATGTCCTGTCTTCCAACACCCACTATACCTTGGTGCAGCCCGTGGTCGTGGTTCCAACCCTGATTGAGTGCTTCCGCCCAGGGGGTGTAGGGGTGTTTCTGATGCTTCTACCGGCGTAGCAATCAATTGAGAAGCTTCCTAAACAGAGAGGCCTTCTTCGGCGGGTATCTGCCTTCTAGATCGGGTCCGTTTTTGCTTCTTCTTCTCATTTTCATCCCGTAACTCCTTATTTTCTTTCGCTAGTAGAATAGCATTATGCATTGTAACTTGGCAGCCTTTGATAAGTTGGTTTAATACACGTTTAGAAGGACTTGTTGGGCTTCGAGATTGTATATAAAGTAAAGCATTGATTGACAAAGCCTGTTGACATAGATCTTTCCCGGTAGTAGGGGTTTTTAGTGTAAAATTCCGGCTTAAGTCACTACCCCGGCTCAGAGGGGGGTAGGTATTCGAAGCTGGATATTTAGCTTCGAAAGTACCCGATTGGGTAAAAAGGGTACTAAACCGGCTGCTAAGAAGCTATTTTTAATTATCTCTGATTTAAAAGCTTCAATTTGTATAGAAGGGTATGCTTTAAGGAAGTCAAGTTTATCAATGTGGTTGATCCTATACTATATTTTTGTTTTAACCAACCGACTATATATACGTTTTGAGATTATAAAACAGCCGATATCGAGCGGTTGTAAAAGGTAAGAGGAATGCGGTGGTATATAAATTGGTATAATATCGTTTTGCTCGCAAATTTCATCGAATTTTAGTATTAAATGGCTTCTATGGCTATTAAGTATCAAAAGTCGATACCTTCCTACTATACGCAATAAAGTTAATGGAATAAACAGCTTCTAAAGCTAACGAAGTCTAATTTTATTAGAAGTCTAGCTGTTTAGACTAACTTTAAAACGCCAATTATTAGGAAGGCCGTTAAACTAAGATTTAATAAAGACTTTGCCTTTAAAAATTATGTATAGAGGAAGCGCCTATCCTAAAGCATTTATATACTTAACTACAGTTACCTACTCGCGATTTCTAGGTTATAAAAGTGATCTCTGACTATAGTATTCACTTCTTATTATAACCTTTGCCGTTACAGTCAATCCTATAGTAAAACCCGTCTTATCGAAGTTATAAATATTGTCTAGATCGATTCTGTACTAAAGAATGGTTTTTTGAACTAGATTAAACCACTCTCCAATAATCCTTAGGTCTTTATATTTCGCGCGCTTATAATTATAATATCTTAAGAATCGGGACGAGAGGGTAGGATGCCGTTTAACAAAGTTTGTAACCCAATTTATACCAACTGAAAGGACCGGGGTATTTCCGCGTTGTTCGAGGAGAAGATTCGCCATTTCTCGTACAGAAGAGGGCCGGGGGGCTGCTCCACAAGAATCTATAGAGATAATCCATTTTTCAAGCGATTCCTCTTCATTTATATTCAGTTTATGGTTGTTGGTGCGTGAAATCGCGCAGTATTCGTGGCCGCGTAGTCGATCTTGGAGTGTTGAACGGGGGATTTTGAAAAGGCGCGCTATCTCACGAATTGAAGAGATTTCTTGATTCTTGAACGCCTGGATAGCTAATAAGATCCTACCCTCTTGCTCTATTGATTTTCTAGAGGGTTGAGAACGTTTTGGTGGCATGGTGGGTGGTTGAATTGACTAAGTGCTAATTTACGGACGCGTTTTGGTTGGGGTGGCCGGCTCGCTTGTGTGGCCGGCTCGCTTGTGAATTACGTTAGTTAACTAGTGGCTTGCTTAGTCTTACTGGCTAATTTTACAATCTGGACTGTGGCCCCGCGGCGTCCTGGATGAGTCTTATGGCAGCTTGCGCGCATCCGTACGACGATTGGTATCCGGCTCCACCGGCGCCGTAGTTATGAACCAGCCATAGATCGCCTACTCGCTCCCTTTCAATCCTCACCCCACCTTCTCTCACTGGTCGTAGCCCAACGCCATGTCGAACAATGTCCAGGTGCTCGATTCCCCGGCCGCCGGTGAGCGCAGGACACAGCTCCACAGCCCGCTTCATAATCCTGATGGCGAGGTTTGGATCTACCTGGGAATCCCAATTTCCTTTCTGATAACAACCGCCTAGGATGGTCCCTCCGCCAGCCGCCCTTGTCATCACATAGCATGCCTCACCATCGCCGTCGTCAGTTCCCGAAACATCGACCATCTTTCCAGCCTCGTTGCGTACCACCACAATCTGGCCACGAGCCGGAATGACCGTCTTGTCATTGACGCCGCCGAGCTTCGATGCCATGAGACCAGTGCAGTTGACGACGAAATCGACCTTTGAAAGGCAGGCGCTCGGCCCCGCGGCTTCCAAAATGTGACTAAACACAGCGCGCTTGAAAGTAACACCATTCTTAAGACACTGAGAGACGAGCCATGGTAGATATATCGCCGTGTTTATGCAGACCGACGTGAAGACCGTTCCTGCATCGACACCGGGGCCGAGCGATGACTTTGGAAGCGGACGGAACTAAATAATAAAACTAGTAAATATGGAAACATGATGTTAGGTGAAGAAGTGTTTCCTTACATTTGGCACAGTGTCTTTGAACCAAGGCTCTGGGGATAGGAGCTCAGCAAACCAATCCGCCGTTGCCGAGCCAGCATCTTTTTCGCGACGATGAATCTCACATTCTTCAACTAAATTAGTTGATGTCATTGCTAACGAACTAGACTCAAGCCCTCAACTTGCCTTGGAAGTGAACACCCGCTTCGGGATGGTTTCTCGCGAGGTCTTCGAGCGGTGCCCATGTCGCTTTCTCCCATTCCGCAGCTTCTGTCCCGCGAATCGAGACACTAAATCTTATCAGTTACGGTCTTGTCCGTGGCCAATTATTCCGACTTACGGCATGTAGTTGGCTCCAGCCCATGGTGAGGCGTACTCGATGTCGTAGTCTCCGGGCATGTGTTTTGCGGCGACAATGATTTTATAGCCTGGACACTTGGACAGCAGCAACGCGGTTGTGAGCCCAGCTACCCCGGCACTGTAATGGCGCAAATATGTCAGATTTGTGCTCTCTCGGATATTTTCAGACAAGGAAAAAGCTCACCCAATGACGACTACAGTTTTCTCAGGCATTGCGAATGTTCTTTGTCCTAGAAGGGCTTCTTGCGAAGACGGTGAAGACCGAGTAGCACTAACTCTGAACTGAAACCAGTATGGCTTTTCTGTAAGAGTGATTCTAGTGACAAAAAGGCATTTAAAACACTTGGTTTTCACCTAGTCCGCCTCTAAAATGAGTTCCTCTTTCCACAATAGGCTTTCTTTTTTCATATTGTATTCCATTCTCATCAAATTACCCAAATTGGATGTTTCGGCACTTGCCTTGGTGTATGCCACTGGTCCTCCTTGTAACTATTACCAATGTGGAATTGCCTAATATGGAAGGTGGGCTCAGGGAACCTTAGGGCCTATGAAAATTGAGATCTGCGGCGGCTTATCTATTAGGATTCGGAGTCTGATTGATACGCGAGCACCAAAAGCACCATCCATCTATGGTCGATAAACTAATTTATTCATTTATTGTGTTGTTCAACGCAGTGAAAGAGATAGGGGGTATTGATGAAATATCATTGGTTGAATAACAGTCTTCCTAATACGGAGTAGTTCGTTCCCAGGCTGATGTGAGAATTTATACAACATAGCTCATCCCCCAGTCCGAGCCCTTCCCATCGTGTCTGTTCTGTTCGCACCCGGATAAAGTCATTTATCTTTCAGCTATCTCTCTGTGCTCACTTACTCAAATCTTCAATCTTCCACTTGTACCATTGTTCAAATATCAGTGTTGATTATACAACTGCTTCGTCGCATTCCACAGCCCACCATGTCGCAATCCCAATTCAAATTCGCCAACTCGGACGCCGAAGTTCCAGGCAACGGTTCTCCTCCCCTAGAATTTACTATCAAAGCACCATCTTTCACGGATATATGGGCTAAACCGCCTTCCACCATCTCCTTCTCGGCCCCTATCTTATACAAATCTATACCTCTCATGTCATTCAAGCGGATCCGCGTCGCTGTCAATGCCCTTTGGGAGAAGAAATATGACCAGGGCGGTGTGGTCCTTGTCCTAAATAGCGCTGATGGGGGCCAGAAGTGGGTGAAGTGCGGTATTGAATTCACCCACGGTAAACCCCACCTCAGCGTCGTTGCGAAAGACAATTGGGCGGACTGGAGCTTGCTTCCAGTGCCCGGGGCTGCGGGTAGTGGCACGGCAACTCTTGAACTGGTTAGGGAAGAGGATGGAAGTCTATGGATCTATTCTGTTGAAGGCTTGGAGAAGTCTCCTATCCGCGAGGTCACTTGGGTTTTTGAACAGGAAAATATCAAAGACCTATGGGTTGGTGTCTATGCTGCAAGGCCATCGAGTGAGGGCGGGGAACTTCCTGTCAATTTCGGTCATTTGATTATAGACCAGGACTAGGTCGGCGGGATGTTGTTGATTATATGCCCCAATCAGTAGATGGCGATGGCTACTACGAAGGACCAATATATAAGACGAATCGATGGAATGTAACTAGTGAAGCAAGATTACTTCAAAGTCATACGTTGCTGTTGGATATAGTGGCCTTGGGTAATATATATCCCCCCGCTCTGATAGAAACGCTAGCCCGAAAACTCAAGAGATAGATGAGACGTAAGATTGTTAGGATAGGTGAGACATCATTATAGCATCCCGCTTTCATTACTAGGTTCGCTGATTGTTCTAGGTTCTATAATGGCATAAAGGACGGCCCGGTGGGATGTTTGTCCTGGCTCTCTGATATAGAGGAGACAGTTCGCTTCCTAAGACTCTTCTCTTAGCGGTGAGACTAGCGGCGTGGAAAGGATGGACATTGCACCCTAGGAGTGAGAACTAAAAGCTCGACTTATTCTAGAAGTGGTGGTATCCGACTTATAAGGCCGAGGTTGGACATAAGCTTCGTAAATATATCTAAGTGGAGATCCGGCAATGTGAGATGCCGATTGAGTATCGATATCGGCATGAATTACTCCGTATAGGTGACTGACGTTCTATAGGTACTTGCAATTGTTCTAGAAAAGAAACTTCCCCTCAAAGGTTAACCGAAAGCGACTATGTATGTCGAGGACGTGGCCGAGTTTGCCAGAGCGATACTATCCACGATAGAGATGACTTTTCCTTGTTGGTACCGGATACAACTCCCCCTTTTCTGCCAGCTGGCCGCCAGCACCGGCAGCCGCCCTTGGGCGTTCCAACTGCGTGCGTCAGCGGCGTCCCCAGTATATTAGGAAATGCATGTGATGTGTGATAGATTTCTGTGGAGAATTCCGTGCTGTATTACCAATAATGTTTATTAAACGCCTGACCAGTTGTTCAGAGTAAATACAGAAGGCCTAGAGTAAATAGATTCTCACCAGGTGCCATCCAGTTTTCTCACCACACATGTTTAATTCGTCGGTCAACACTGACATGGGCATGAACTGCGAACCGTCAATTGCACTTGAATCAATAACCGAATTAGTTTGGATCGTACGTGTAATGGTCAGTCTAACATATGTGGTGACCTCTTAAAAGGGTTCAAGGATCGATATGCTTCCCGGTCACCAAGCTATTCCTGGGCAACGGGCAACCTAGCCTAGTTTGTTCGGGGGCAACATAATGTGTGATTGGTAATCTCTCAGGAGTAACTTAACTCCCCAGGCCACACTCAAGGGAACTCGTTAACTAGGAAATTTCTGATTACACAGCTGACAGACATCAATGCACACCACACATGGGCTGGCAATATCCACTTCTGGACCAATGCAAGCGAGGACCTACAGGCAATGAGGTCAGAGGCGGCTGCCATTGTTGATCAGCATTTTCAATCTGCTCATTTCGCAAGCCACATCCGGATTCGAGACCTTCCAGCCAATGATCGCAACCTTGAACGGTTGCGCCCCTTCGAATGCCAAGCAAATTCAAGTAAAGAAGACTCTCGAAAGCATAGCCACTCCGTGCAAAATATGGAACAGGTCTCAGTACTAGTATCCGGTAGTCAAGCCATGTCTTTTTTGCAACGTCTCGTGCACATGTACACGATTAGTTCCCGTTCTCTCACTTCGTTTCAGGGCATAATACCGGGTCATGACACATAGAATTCCAGAATAATACAAGTGTACAGTCAGACTTCGTTGAAATGTACCCCACTTTCTTGTAAACCCCGGTCACTTTGGAGAAATGCATGGTCCCGGTTTATTCCACCATAGAGAAGAGCGCAATGATTACCTAATTAGGTATAGCGCCCCCGGCTTTGCGAACTTTTCTCGGCGCCGATCGGGTTTGACTGTATCATGTGCTTTACGGAGTACCCCGTACTCCGTAAACTACTACTCCGTATTCCGCACAAGAGGGGCCCCAGCCAACCCCGGCCTAGCCGAACCGTCCGACTCGGCAGTTGTTAGGTACAACACCGTACCAGTCCGTGAACTTCACCCGTGCCGAGGTCATCCCGACCGGGGGCGAGGGAGGTTTTTTATTGAGTTGTCTCAGAGTTTTGAGGCGTCGCTCATCTATTACTTGATCGAGCCAGACATCCTCGTGATGTTCCGGCCATTCCGGTCATACCAAAAAATGTCATGAGAAGGACAGGGTCTATATTTTTTTTTTGACTGACCTCAATTTTAGTAGCCTTTCGAAAGGTCGTAACTCCCAATCTTCCACTCTCGGTATGATCGAAAACTTCTTCTCCGATGGTCTGGGTTGGGCTTGATGGTCATTAGACGAATTGCTATCGTGGGGATGCTGGGGTAGCGATCGGAAATGTTGGACCTGACACGCAACATTCCCTGTATTTAAACCCCACAACAATACTAGTTGATACACATGCAGCTAACTTTTACGAGAAAGAAAAAGCAAGGAGTTCATTGGGTGCACTGGCGAATTGTGGGGTCCAGGCCGAATGTCGGGGAAATTGAGAAGTACAGCATCCCGCAGAAAGGCTTTTCGGCGAAATACGCCCTTATATAGAGCGGCATTCGGGCCGTCTCGTCGGTTTCCCTTTTCTTTCTCTTCTGATCCCATACAAGTTAATTTTTTTTGCATGACTGATACGATCGACACGAAATGCACGACAAATATGAGGAAAAGCCCGACACCGTGGGCAAAGAGTTCAGCGATGAATTCACGCCCGAGGAGCGTGAGCACGAGATCGAGGCACGCGATCAACAGGCCCAGCAGTATCTCGGCAGCGAATCACTGTATGACCGGATAGCGTTCGCACAAATACCAGTGTACATGAAGAGTCCTCGCATGCTAGTCCTTACGCTGGGTGTCTTCGCCGCCTTTAGCGGCATGCTGAGTGGTTTGGACCAGTCGGTTATTTCCGGCGCGCTGCCTGGCATCCGCAAGCACTTCATCGCCTCGGGCGATTGGACGAGCCTCGAGGACCCGAAACTGGCAACCGACATTTCGCTGATTTCCTCGCTGATGCCGCTAGGCGCAATGGCCGGCGCGGTCATGATGACGCCGCTGAATTACTATTTTGGACGCCGTAACTCGATTATCATCTCGTGTTTGTGGTACACACTGGGAGGAGGACTTTGTGCCGGCTGCCGCAGTGTTGGAATGCTGTTTGCGGGCCGATTCATTCTGGGCATCGGTATCGGAATTGAAGGCGGCTGTGTCGGCATCTACATCTCTGAGTGTGTGCCACCTGAGGTGCGTGGCAACCTGGTGTCTGTGTACCAGCTGATGATCGCCTTCGGAGAGATCATTGGATACGCGGCCGGAGGTGTCTTCTTCGACGTGCGGTCAGGCAGCTGGCGCTGGATGCTGGGCTCGTCTCTCTTGTTTTCGACAATTCTCTTGGTCGGAATGTGCTTCCTGCCTGAATCTCCGCGTTGGCTGGTATCCAAGAACAAGACTGGCCGTGCGTGGCAGGTGTGGAAGTCGCTGCACGATATGGCCGACCCCAAAAGCTTGGACGAGTTCATTGCGATGGAAATTACAGTCAAGCATGATGTCGACGCGACCACCAGCGAGGCATGGTACAATAGGTACATGCAAGTGTGCACGCAGCCGCGCAACCGACGGGCGCTTGTCTATGCGACAGCAATGATCTTCTTCGGACAGATGACGGGTATCAATGCAGTGATGTACAACATGTCAAACTTGATGGCCAAGATGAACTTCAGTGACCGCGAGTCAGTGCTGATGTCGATGGTCGGCGGTGGCGCGCTGTTCTTTGGAACCGTTCCTGCCGTGTTCACCATGGACAGGTTCGGACGACGTGTGTGGGCACAAAACATCCTCATGTTCATTGTCGGCCTGGTGCTGGTGGGTGTCGGCTACCTATACACAAATAACGGCGTCGATTACTTCAATGAGCACAGAGCAACTGCCTTGGGCTTGTTCTTCTCCGGCCTCGTGATATACATGGGCTTCTTTGGAGCGTATTCGTGCCTGACCTGGGTCGTCCCAGCGGAGAGCTTTGATTTCAACACCCGTAGCCAGGGCATGGCAATCTGCTCGACATTCCTTTACCTGTGGTCATTCATCGTGACATACAACTTCGAGGGAATGCAGAAGGCGATGACCTACACCGGCCTGACGATTGGTTTCTTCGGCGGGTTGGCTGCGTTAGGCTTCTTCTACCAGCTGTTCTTCATGCCCGAGACCAAGGACAAGACGCTGGAGGAGATCGACGAGTTGTTCTTGATGCCAACGAGCAAGCTGGTTGCGCTGAACACGAGCAATCTGGTCAAGCGCTTCCGGTCGCGACAGCCGGAGCCGGTCGACACCCTCAATGCCTGAGAGGTTCTACACCCAGCGGCTCACCTTCGTGGTACATTAATGTATTTCACAAGCGACCGGGTCACCGCAAACCACATGATAAATGCATTTATATCTCAACGATACTTTTTAGTTTAGCCTTTATTTGTCGATAATCATCAATGAGCTTTATTAGCACAATATATATATTTCTGGAAGGCTAAAACCTCAACTTGGATTCGTATGTTGTATGGGATCAAAAGCTTCATTTTATGCCATGCTAGCAGAGCCGGGCGGTGTACGTTGATTACTAAGGCAGGTGTGGAAATTCAGGCATTCAAAAAAGCGTTCAGGCATCAAAATACCCCAAAACCTGGGGTTTGGACCCTGAATACCCCTTCGTACACGGGTCCACTACATATTCGAGCTGGAGCTCTTTTCACTTTTCGCAGATTGGGTTAATATGTTTAGCTTTCGTACCTTGGCTTCTTTCATATATTTGACGCATGTCGCTTTCGTTTTTCTGGGAGGCAATGTGCAAGCTCATAGTTCTCAGCTTAGGGACATTGTTCCTAGACGCGAGGTTCTCTACGTTGGCGGACGATACACGAACGTCACGGCAAGTCTTGATTCCCACCAATTGTACGCGTATCTAAAGTCGTCAAAACAGGAGAATGCAACCAATTCTACATCAATGGCTATGATAGGGCAAATTTACGTCGAGAAGCTCTCCCCTCAGTCAGCCCCGGCGAACCCACCACTTCCCATTATTTTCATTGCAGGCGCGGCTCAGACCGGCACCAATTTCCTTGATACTCCAGATGGACGGCCGGGATGGGCATCCTATTTTATCTCCAAAGGTCACACAGTCTACCTCTCAGACCAGCCTGCTCGCGGCCGCTCCTTCTGGTCACCTGGACAGGGAAGTATTGGGTACATTGGCTCCCCCGATTCGGTCTCTGATATTTTCACCGACGTAGCAAACAACGACAACCAATGGCCACAGGCGAAGCTTCACACGCAATGGCCTGGCACCGGTCGCATTGGCGACTCAACTTTCGACGCTTTCTACAGGAGCCAGATGCAGTTCCAGACCGACCGCTTCATAAGCGAAGAGCAAAATGCGCAGGCGTATTCAGCTCTAGTCGACCTCGTCGGCGACTGTTATATCATCAGTCACTCGCAGGCGGGTGCATACGGTAATTTCAGCCAAACACTATGACTCGCTAAAGTGGTTGACGATTGAGTAGGCTGGAGGGTCGGAGACATGCGCCCGGACCTGGTCAAGGGTATTGTCCAGCTCGAGCCATCTGGTCCACCGTTCACGCTCCGCCCGCCGTTTGGAAATGACCCGGCTTTCGCTTTCGGTCTCACCGACCTCGCAATCGGATACGAACCGTCCGCAGGCGAGAATGCCGAAAATATTGAGACAACCATCGAGCCAGCAATCGACGCTGATCACGACCAATGCATCATGCAGAAATCCCCAGCGAAGCAGTTGACGAACCTGGGCAAAATCCCGGAACTTGTTGTTACAGGCGAAGCATCGTTCCATGCGCCATACGATTACTGCACCGTCAAGTATCTGGAGCAAGTTGGAGTAGACGTTGAATACGCAGATCTAGGCAAAGAGGGTATTCATGGCAACGGACACATGTTGTTCATGGAGAAGAACAACCTTGAGATCGCAGACCGGGTGTACAAGTGGCTGAAAAAGCACTAAACAATGCATAATAAAGAATCAATTTCCCCACTGCGTTGTTCCATGCCCCCACGAATAGATCGATCGTCGGATCGATCTGTCCGGCGATACACCACGGTTCTGGGACCTCCAAGACATGCAGCAACTTGACAACCTGGTCGAAATAGGCTTGTCATGTGACTGGGACCCAGTCTTTGCATAAATTACGGTATTGGCGTTCATTAACCCGCAAAATCAGCAGAATTGAGCCCCGTTTGCAACGCGCCCCTAGGCATACCATGAACACCATGAATACAACGCCAGAGCAAATCTTCAACATTGAGGATGCCCTGGTGTCGGAGGCCAACCCCGCACGCCTCAATGGTCCCCTCGATTATGAGCGCTGTGCGAGGCTACACAACTACCTGGTTGCGTATGGATGGATGGCCCGCCACGGACAAGAGACGCCCAATCTCGATGAGTTAGCTAGTCAACCCTTCATTTTCGCAGACGAAGATACACAGGCTGTTCGCGAACGACTCCACCCCTCAGTGAATTCCTTCCTGGATTCGATATTCTCGCCTGAGCCAGGCTTCTTTCACTGGATAAATGATATCTCAATGCAGTTGGTCGACAATATTTTTCCGGGTGAGGACAACGACTTAGACGACCTGGAACGCTTCGTTGTTATTTATGGCACTGTGCTTGAGTTAGGCTCGCATTGTGTCGGGGTCGTCTATGACCAGCAGCTGCACCGTGCTGCTTTCCCAATGACCCTTGAAAATCTGGATAGTGTGGAGCCAATCGGCGAGCATGAGGATATGTGGTTCCCACTAGAAACGATCCTTACCAACTGGATTTATATGCTTCGGATCGGTAAAATCACGGCTGATTCACCGGAGGGCGAAGCGCCCGAAGAACTGGCAAATTCACGGTCGCAAATTGGACTCTGGTCTTGGCTTCCATATTGTCCTAGTCAGGTTGATAGTACTGTGGCTGCTATAGATCGGTACTCGGCGGCTATCGAAGCTAGAATGCCCTCTGGATCACTTTTGCCTGTCTCCAGAGATGCGCCACTTTTCACAGACGTAGAGCTTGATGCGGCGTCTATACCGGAGGAGTGCTTCATTCGTTCGGTTCTGACGAGAATGAAAACTCCCCGTTTCAAAGCCATTGCGCCCGGCTTGGAGGTTCCGCACGATACCATGGCTTTCACGGCTCGGCAGAGGTTTACGGGGGTACCTCGCGAACAGGAGGAATGGGGCAACAATATCCCGCCCGTCCTAATCTTCGCAGCTGCAGATAGTAGCCGCACAGTCGGTTTCGGGGAGGAGATTCGATGGCTTTTCTTTGCACCCGGAGATGAGATACCATTCAACGATAATGATCTTATTCCAACGGGGCTGTATAGTGAGTCGGTACGGCGGTGCCAATACGATAGTGAGGAAGCGGGCTTCCGTCTATTACTACCTTTCCGGGATCACAATGGAGCGAGAATGAGTGATGGGACATCAATTTCGCCAGGGTCTGTCACACAACTCTTTCAACATGGTATTTTCCATCCGTTTGGTGGTGAAAGACGGGCTCAGAGATTGGAGAGGCTGATAGACCGGTGGAGAGAACTAGTAGAAAGTGGTGTTTGGACGGTTGGAAGAGACGGCGTAGAGGGAACAATTGATCAATTCCATATAGATAGTGCGAGGAATTACTGGATTGCTCCTGACTGGTAACATCCATGTCCGACTCATTTGTTGAACATTCAGATGCCCTATCAGCCATTCAGCTGCTGTATATTCAGTACTTCGTATTCCGTAGTCGAGTGCCGAATTGTGTCCATGTTTTGTTTCACAGATTATATTTTAGTAGTTATTGAAATTATTCTACTACATTTTATTTTACCTGCGCTCGTCAATAGAAATTAATCTAAAAATTAATCTAAGCTTGGGCTTCCGATCTAGAGTGTCGGGCTGCGGTTGCTGGGGCATCCCAGTGGAGATTTGTGACCTGACGACCTGCGAACTACATCATTTGTGCTCTAAACTCCGATCTTTCTAGAATCCCTCGAATCTCCCTTCAGACATCAAGTACCCAGGTATTTTCAAGTCTCGAGTCTTCAATTACACCCTCGCGACCGGTTAAAGCTAATCTTACTCCTTTGAGTAGTTTGTTGACACCCAGCCCACCCCCGGATAACGACCCCAACGACGAAACGAAGCATGAGAATAAACCACTAAACTCACACAATTCAACCAAAATCTCGAGGCCATTCCCCAAACCGACTATTCCAACCCCCCCCCCAATCCCGAGAATGCGGACTTCCAGGTGGATCTGGATTGCCGCCACATTCCTCTCGACCGTCCACTCAACAAAAACAGCACCCTTCACCGCCGCAGAAGCAGCCATAGCCAACAAACGAGCATTCGAAGTCCTCCGCATCCTCGGACGAGCCGACAACAGTTGCCCGAGCGGCTACAACCCCTGCACCGAACTGGGTAACGCCGATGCATGCTGTAAGCAGGGAACGAACTGCTCCCGCGATGCCGCCAATAACATCGCCTGCTGCGCGAGCGGTGCAAGCTGCACCGGCAGCCTAACAGGTACAACGGCGACGGGCACCGGCACCGCGTTCATGTTCCCCAGCGGCGCAACCGCAACCACCACTACCGAGGGCCAGGCGTCCGCAACCGGCTCAACGCTAGACGCCGCGTATCCATTTGTCGTCGTCCCGACCTCTTTTGGAAATGCCGAGAGTTGCTCATCTTACTACTCCGTGTGTCAGTCGGAGTACACGCAATGCACTGGCGCGCTGATGGGTCGCTACGGCGTTACTATTGACGGCGCTGGGGGAGGTGTGACGGTTGAGGCTGTCACGGCTTCGTCGCAGGCGACTTCCATTTGCTCGAGCTTGAGTTTGGAGGCTTGCCACGGTATCAATTTGGGGTACTGTAGCAGCGTTGCCACGCAGACTGCTAGTGCGGAGGTGAATGGGAATGATGCCTCTCCTGTGCGGATGTCGAGTCTCCATGATCTGGTCTTTGGGCTGGCGGTTGGGGTTGCGGGGATGTTTATATGATTGATGGATCTGAAACGACATTTTGAATGCGTGCTTTTGATTTGTATATTCTTTCCTTTTCTTGTGATTTTATATCGCCATGTGGAGCAACTCCTAGAATTATGATACTCTTCGAATCCCTTCCTTTTACTCCGTCCCGAGCGTCGAATTTTGAACCCGTGCTTAAACCCCCTGGCATTCCCCATGGTTCTTCGTTCAATATCACGCTCAAGATGGTCGACCAGTTCTCCGAGGAAAAGATCTGGATATTCTTCCGTTGACTTCTTCCTGGGGTAGACGGTACTTTTCTTTTATCCTACTGAGTCGGGAAGGATGCATGTCTGAATCAATTTCCATTTCTTGCTGAATATTCTTCCTCTCCAACCTCTCCGTCCGAGTCCGAATTTCCTCCTCTTCTAAGGAATCGCGGTCCCAGCTCCTCTGATCTTCGGGACACGATGGATCCTGACTTATTACCTCGTTGCACCCTAACTTCCCCAAGCACGACGTCCGTCTTCATTATAATCAAAACGTAATCCAGTATTCCTTCCTTGTGGTGGTTCGATGTCCCTTCGATGCCATCGTCCGGGACTGCTTCGACTTTTTCATTGCTAGATAATAGGAATCTGCTATAGTGTAGATAATGAGAAACAGTGTGTCTGATTCGGTTCCGTGCGAATGGACAGGGAGGAAAAAGAGGAAGAGAGAAGAGGGCGAGAGCTACTCTAAACGGGATCCGGTCCAGGTTGTGCCTTAGCTAATTGGGCATCCGACCCGTGGACCTAGGTAGGTGAGGCTTCAGCTTTTGACTTCACGCTTTATCTCAGCAACTATCAATAGGACACACCTGAAATGTTCATGGTGAGAGCTTTGAGAAGGTTCATCAGAGACTCATTAACGATTTGTCCAATCGTTCTGCAGGGTATGCACTATGGCCCATTCTATACCCGCTGCAGCTGCCTGGATTGTCGGTTGGCTGGTTCCAGGTTTCGAATCGTTGACAAGTTGCTCGTCTACCTCTTGTTTCACTGGTGTTTCTTTTCTTTTGGGCACCCTCGTCTCAATCGCGACGGTGGTTCTGGTTGCCAAAATGTCAATTGTTGAGACACCATGCCCGGGATGCGGACACAGGAGACAAACTTGCCGTCTTCCATGTGACAGTTATGGCACCTTCATTTCTCCGACGACCTTCAGAGCTACCGGGGATGTTCGCAAGACCATTGCCATATCTGGGGTTTTCCGATAAGAGGTACCCGCCGACTTGTGATCACCAAGACGGATGTTGATATTCGTAGTCGCTATCACCGCACCGAGTGTTTGGATGCCATTCCGATTCGACGGGCTCATCCACCGCGTGGTTCAAGAGCCCCCACGTCGGAAGACGTGGGGGAACAGGTAGAATCCTTCGATATACTCGCTGTTCAAATGTCAGAGATACATTCATCTTAGACTCCAGGAGACTCACATTGCTCGGTTTATATATAGATAGTGGGACGATGAAGTTTGTGATATATGAACCCAAGATGTATAGATGATGACTCAATAGATGTGAATGGGGTAAGGTATATGAATGATGTTGAGAGAGGGCATATATAGATAATAATAGAATCCACTTGGTGAAATAGATGACTTATAGAATACCTCAGTTGCGTGTAAGAAGGAAGAAACTATCTACAGGTTTGTGGAATAAGTAGCAGGAGCAAACAATAGAGGTCAGGTGACCTTTTATTCGATATTCCAGAAGCAAAAGGAAGGTGAGAATGACCTCAAATTTGATACTGGTAAGTTCATGTTTCTTTACTTTAACAAAAAGGATATACGCACGTTACGTTATTATGGTTTTTGTTCTTATTACTATCCAGGCTGGACGACATTCTTTTCAACTAGTTAAGCTGTGGAAAGCCCCTGTCCACTCCTCAAACTCCATAAATGGCCCTGCTCGTAAGTCCACTGCGTTTGATTAAGATCTCATCGGGAATTAGCGGGGCTCGCGTTACAAGAATCTCCCTCTCCCTGTGCGGATGTCCTCATCCGTGTGTAAACATGAATGTCAAAGGACGAAAGGACAAAGAATCTGGGAGGCAGCGGGGAGATATCACGTCAAAGAAAGTGAAGTGGATGCGTTAAAGAAAAGGAAGTTGTATGTAATAACTTGAAAGGAAAGTAAGTGACAGGATGCATACTCCGTGTTTCGTGTTTTCTTTGGGAGTGTGGCTATGCAAACGTTACATTTTCTTTAAGGCCGATAGCATATTGGCGCACATTTTTCCGTAAGGTAGAGAGACATTATGCAACTTCTGGACTTCACTTCCGATCCTATGCTGATTCCTTACATAGCGCCCACTCTTCTTGAAGGCTGTGTTCTGCGGGATACTGGTGATTTGTTTAGTGGCATTTTCGATATGAAAACCATATTAAGCTGGCTTTCATTCAGGATTTCCCAGCGGATGAGGGGATTCAAAGAAGTGCGAATTTTGTCTCCATAGCCAGATTCTTTGTAGGCGTCTGTGTAAGGGGACATGCTTACGACGGCTGTCATTCGGGGCATAATCGCTTTCCTTTGATGTTTTGCTGCGGACAGTTACGGTCGTAATATAATTACTGCCTTTCCTCTTCTGCTTTTCCATGATCTCTAGACCTATTCTTCTGGTCTTTTTATCTATATAATAATTCCGAATCTCCTGCGATAGCCAAAGCTGCTGGCTCTGCCGGCACTCGTCGGAAGACGATCTCTATACCTATCCTACAGCAGGCATAGTGTCTCTGTTGTATGAGAGTTCAATATAATCCCTGTTTGGGGGCAGAAAATGACCGCCTACAACTATACGGAGTACATATGTATAGACAAGGCAGTGGCAGAGTCTAGTAAGAGGTTTGTTTGTCAAGATGAATGTGTGAATTTGAATGATACATAGTTTGATAATCTATTCCATAATTACGAACGCCTTTTCTCGGTGTAAGCTTGATGTCTGGTACTAGTTAAATAATTTATAGTTTATTTACAGGCAAAGAAATGTCTTTGGTTGATTCACAAGTATTGCCCAAAGCTCATTGCAACACATTCCTAGTATGTCTTTTAGCAGGTCAAGCTAATTGCGTAACAATCTCGGTAATTCAATCAACGAGAATTCATTCTTGGTTGGTAATGGACCATAGATCAGACAGTAACAATTCAAGGTGAAACAACTAGACTACATATTGCTGTTCACTCCATGACCATGTGGTTGGTGAGCATAGAAATGGTTGATGGCGTTATTGTCAACAGTGGGAAATTGATTAGATATGCTCCGCAACATTAGGGCCTGTTTTAATTCCTTCATTGCACGGGCACTTCTTACTCGATGTTGAAATGGTCTTCGGACTCCCAGAAGGGTTTTGCCCAGTTCATCGCATCCAGTCCGCATGCCAGCTGGGTTATGTAGCCGGGTTCAAAATCTCATCCAACCGGCAGACGCACAGACTAAGAATACCTCAAGGCTTCGGCAGGATGCTTGACATGAGGCGGCAGGGAGCAAGATCGTGGATAGTCCGAAGCACATTTTGAATGTGGCCAATATTGGCGATGCGAGGAGTCTCGCCATCCATGGATGACCTCACACAAGCAGTCTGACGATAAAACACTGGCTTTGGGGGCGATAGCAGACCGCACCGGCTGGAATGGGTCATTGATATTATCGCTAGCTCTGAGCCATAGAAATAGCGGTCAATACGCAACTATGGGTTGTTGGAGATATTTCCGTATGTTGTAGCAAGAAAAGAACGACACTAGCAAGTGAGTGGCATGACAGAGTAGTAATTATCGTTAGAATAATTCGCTTGGGTAAGCTTTGATTCTTCGATCGCTTTCAAGGTAGAGAATATTTCCCTCTAGCAGCCCTCCGGGGCCTGGGTGCCTGTGCCTGTTTAATCGGATGTCAGGGTCTTCAACGGATTGGACAATTCGTCGTTGGGCTGCCATTGGTGGCACGGAATATCCGACATCCACAATATTCACGCTTCGCTGCAATTTACGAGACTCTTGGCTGCCCAACGTATACAAGTGGATTGTTCCTCTTTAGTGTTAGACCTGAGTCATGGCAATTCTGAAATGGCGGTGTTGGACATAGCCTTGGAAGCGGATTGCTGCCATGCGGGGTGGAACCTGCATCCAACCCGTTGATCGCTTCTGACAGGACGCCGGTAGGGGGGCAACCCAGGGCTTGTTATTCGAGGCGGAAAATAGCGTTGGACTAATCGGAATGCAGTAAATTTCATTTAATCCGAGTCCCAGCCACCGGATAAAAAGAAAGTCTCAGGCGATTGGTAGGAAATCGGGTGGTTGGGTATACTGGAGAGGCTGGGAGATGTTGTGTAGCTAACAAACTAGAACTCTTTTCTCTTGACTTCTCTCATTCTTCTTTATTCTTTGCCTGCATTCCGATCATATCTTGACGTCTCAAGAATTTGGTGATCTTTGTCTGTGATCTACAAGATCTCTCCAGTATACGAGTGAGATAAGACTACCAACACCGCTCCAGTCTAAACCACAGGCTCTCCGACTCGAGTGATTTCACCACTGAATTTTGGCAAGCGTTGCCTCGCTTTTCCTTTGCGATGCGATCTTTATCCGTCTTGCCAGTGCTCTCGACACTTTCCCTACTCCTCAACTACGCGCTCCACACAGCCGCAACCCCGCTCGCAGCTGAAGCAGACATCTTCGGAGAAAACAGGCTGGAAAAGCGCTGCGATAATCCATGTGGCTATAATGACTGGCTTTGCTGTGAGACCGGTCAGACGTGCAGTACCAACAGTGCCCAAGAGGCCGTCTGTGCAGATAGCAGCAGTGGAGACTATCAATATTACACAACGACCTACGTGCTCACCAATACCGACCTCACAACTGTTACCTCTGTATGGAGCAGCCAGATAGCTGCTACTACAAGCGCGGGCACGTGTAGAGCCGACCTCGGCGAGACGACGTGCGGCACGACTTGTTGTGACGCTGCGCAAGAATGTGACAATGGTCAATGTGTCGCTGAAAG